ATTGGGTATAAATACAAATGGGCCATTGCATCATCCATAATCTAAGCATCATGTCACGGGATTACCCAATGCTCACATGCAATTTAAACTGCTAAATTTAAACTTCATAATTCCCACTGCGTGGGCAAGTAGTTGATGTTGAGGTGTGTCAAAGGTTTTTTTAACCTTGGTTTATGTTTGGCCACCCTGCTTTTAGTCACTCCCCATGGAAGGAAAAATACAGGTTCTACTAGCCAAGTGAATGTTTCGCTTGGAATGGGAGAGAATATTCCCATGGCACAGCAGTCACTTGTGAAGCTTTCACTAGTTGTCCAATCTAGATGCATCTTTACAGCTTGTTTGGCACGGCTCAAAACCTTTGGTTGTTCAAGTGCGTTTCTTTATAAAGGGTAACTGCAGTCACAATTTCTCAGACCGGTTATTAAATCTCAGGGAACAAAATAAATTCATTAACGTTATAGAAAAAAAATGATACATTTTGAATTAAGCACAAAAATGTCTCAAAATCAAGAGCAATATTTCTGTTGGATGACTATTCACAAGCCTGCTAGTTTACAATGTAAACCAGATGCATATGTCACTGGAAGCCACAAGTCCCGTTGCCTCGTTCTGAATTGCACAATATGACACCACACATTTCTGGAAATTAGGTCTATTCTGTGATGTAAATTGGAGGTTTTATGAGTTACTGCACAGGTTTTACTTTTATTGCAGTTTGAAATGCACTCATCAAAAGCTGATTCTTTCTAACCCCGAAATATGAAAAAAGCACTGCAGTTCCCCTTTAAATTAAAAATGTACATAAACCGTTTACTTAATTGAATTAATAAACCAGTTTGTTTGGGGATAGCATGGTGCGCTAGTACTTCACAACCTTAAGGTCCCACATTTTGACCGGGGCGCTTTCTGGGTGGAGCTTGTATGTTCTTATCACATCTGCATTGGTCTTTTCCAGGTGTTCAGGTTTTCCTCCTGCCTGCCAAGGACACGCTGGCTAGATCAATTGGTGCCTCTGATTTGTCCATGTACAGTATGTGTCCCGTGACACACTAGCGCCCCCTCCAGGGTGCTGCAAGGTGCTTTCATCCACTGGTAACAGGGATGAGAGATCCCAGCAACCCCTTGCTCAGAGAGAAATGGCTGAAACATCGCGGTTTTCTGCCAGCCTCTCAAAACACGTCGCTTTACGTTATAAATTCAGAAACCTGAGATGAATCCAAACTCGCACAGAGGAGCACTAGATGGAGGGCTCTGGTTTGTCAGTGCTGTTAAAAGGCAAAGTTAAAATTCAAGTCATTGTGTCGTCAATAAATCCCTGTAGCAAAAGATATTCACTGCCCTTTATGTAATTACAGTCTTTTTTAAAACCATTCTTAACCATCCTTATTTATAGCCATGATTATTGCACACTGTGTTAATGGACACGATATATAAAGGATCTTTGTTCTTTTGGAAGGAATATGGGCTCATTCAACAACTGGTGAAAAACCTGTAAACTTACACCAGCATATCAGCTGCTGAGGCAGGGAAAACAGCCAGCGGCTGGGATGTCCAGGGAAAGGCAGCCTGGGCCTTGTTTTGTAATAAACAGAATCGGACCCTTTCTGATTAGGACATAGGATTATCCAAAGGTAAATTTAGAGGGGTGTCACATGAAGATCCACCCATCATCCGGGTGGGGTCGGAGCCTATCCCGGCTACCAGCGGGCACAGGGACGCCAGTCCACCGCAGGGCAGATGGAAACACACCCACACCCCAGGGTCAATTTTCCCAGAAGCCAGTTAACCTACCAGCACGCCTTTGGGCTGTTGGGAGGAAATCAGAGCATCAGGAGGAAACCCCATGTGAACACGGGCAGAACATGCAAACTCCACACAGACAGCAGCCAAGGTTTGTAATTGAACCCAGGGCCCCAGCGCCGAGATGCAGCAGTGCTGACCACTGTGCCGCCCACATGAAAAGATGTAACCATTGTCAATGCTGATCGCTAGTCACGCACCATGTTATACTGCACAAGTAGCACTATGTGAAGACGGTGCTTCATAGTCACAGGTACAGCTCATTTACAAGGCACGTATTTTCTTCTAAAAATACATTCTGCCATTCTATTGTCTAAAGAATGACGCAATGCAGGCAAAGTATTACAAATAAAACAGTTAACACCAAACAGATGAAACCGTGCTGCAACTGTGTGGGACTTTTAACTTCAATGCAAAACACACAGCACTGAATACAAGAACTAACTGCTTCCAGTTACCCACACAGCGCCAGTTCTTTCTTCGGGAGTGGAAGGAGTTTCAGGCACACTTCATCCATCCTCACAGAACAACAACAATCCCATTTGAGAGCTGTGGTGAGGCATCCCAGCTCCTCTTTGCAGGATGCATTTTTAGCTAAGCGAAAGAGTGACTGACAACTACCCAAGACAGTTAAATACATAAATAAACTTCATTATAATACATATTACATAGATATAAAAATAAGTTATAAAAAAGGGAAAGTAATCTTCCTTGTGGTTAGCGCTCTGACTCTATAGGTGCCACATGCAGGCTGGCAGGTTTCCGTTTCTGTCCAAACTGTAGCCAAGCTGAGTGTGTTGGCAAGTGGGATACCGAGGACGAGGACACGGGCCAGCAGAATGAAACGGAAGCATAGACCATCCATGGTCTCCACCCAACGGTAGCCAATACCCGCAAGTTCCCAGTATTTCTGCTTCATTACATGTCCGGATCGGCCGCCGCTGATGTCCTGCTACTCCAGCGGTTGGGTACGCAACATCAGGGCGTGCTCAATGGCGGGACCGTCCGCGGTATTCTGGGGAGACGTGCAAAACGACACGGATCACTTTTGAGTATTCCGGATTTGCAAAGCCCAGCTGTGCACGCTCGTCGAGGGGGAAAACGAGCCGCGGAGACTCGCTCCCCGTCTTGTTTCCAGGGTTTTGTCATAAAACCGGCAAAGAGTTCCGTTCTCGGTGGGAGTCGAGGCTCATAAAACGAGATCTGGTGTTCCGACGACGACTGGGCCAAGTGCTTGATTTTTTTTTGGGTCAGTCATTTTGGGTTGTTTGGTTCGGAACGCTCCCTGGTCGGAAACAGAAACCTGCTGTGTAGTTAGCTTGTGATTTTCAAGACTGGGTGCAAAAAAAGAAACGTGGTAGGCCACGCGCTACACTGACCGAGGCTCTGAGTTCAGAAGAAGGAGAAAGCCTGTTTGGATTAGGAAGGCGGGAGGTTTCTCTCGCGTGACAAGTGAAACTCTAACAACACGATGGCCCAACCCGATCCAGGGCTGGAGGAGGTTTTTGGACCATCGTCACTCAGTCTGACTCGGGGGCCACAGGTCTGCCACACCCAGGATATGGTCATCAGCGGGACAGCAGAAGCCCCAGGCGCCTATGCGGTAAGCTATAAGCCGTGTGGCATCAAGAGCTCACAGCTGCACTTAGACTGGCGTAACTCTCCTCTGTCCTGCAGGCAATCAGTCATGTTCAGCCCAATCAGAACACCGACAAGCGCTTTTTTGGGGAATCTCCGCACGGATGGGGAATGAGGGCTGGCACGATGAGAGTGTTTTTTTGGGGTAGGGAAGCCGGGGAGAGGTGGCGGGGCTCAGTGAGCGTGGTTTAGGTTCTGGTTGTGGTTCTGGTCCTGGAGGGCCAGGCTGCGCAGGTGGTGCCGGTGCAGCTGGATGGCGTTGGTCTCCGCCGGGTCCAGCGCGGGCTCGAAGGCGCTGGGCGCCTGGGGCATGAACTGGCGGAATATGCTGACGCTGCCGTGCCAGAAGGTGGGCTGGGGCAGCCGGCCGGCGGGGCTCCACCCGCGCGCCGCGGGGTCGTAGGCCTCCACCACGTCCGACAGCTCGAAGGTGTTGTCGTAGCCCCCCGAGACGAAGAGGCGCCCGCCCAGCGCGGCCACGCTGCCACCCACATGGACCTAGGGGGCAAAGCACAGCCGTCAGCTACTGCAGGGGCCGGGGTGGGAAAAGAGAGACCCCACTGTGGGGCAGATTGTCCAAGAGGCCAGTGCAGCACTAGGGGCCGAGTCAGAAATCTGAACTGCACACGGGGCAATGAGCAGGCATTACTGATCACCCAGCACTGGCCTTGCCACGCAGCTTTCAGTGGCTTGATCGGTCACGGAGACGGCCTCACTCCATCTTTTGGTGGTGCAAAAATGAAGAAACATTTTAAATCTGACTGCAAGGGATCCTGAGAACTGTGAGCACTTCTGTCACTGTGTGACCCCTCGTGTGCCTGCTGGACAGTATCACTGTATTACAGAGAGGAAAGGGGCTTCATGTTGGTACAGCACGTGCCCCGGAGGTCCTGGGTGATTTTTTTAACATCCCCCACCATCAGAATGACAACATTCCGACAGAAATACGGGGGCTGGCAGAAGCAACAAAATATATTTAATATCAAAATCATAGACATTTCAGTTTAAAACATTCACGGACTGAGCACTATCATCCACATTTCATTACATTCAAGGCTCTTTTGCTCCTGTCTAAAAGCAGTTTTCAGCATCTAAAGATGCTCTGGCTACGTCACCCTGTTAGTGAAGAACTGCTTACCCAGCAATTTACAACAACCAAATGAGCTGTAACTTATACGTTTTTCTAGGAACTTGCTCCTAAGATAAAGCAAAGAGCTGCTCTCCGAGTAACCCAAGCCACTAAAGTTTAAGGAAAACCTTAGTAAATTAATTCTTAGAGCTCAGATTTTATTGAGACTTAAGCTTGCCTTGAATCAGAGGCTGTGTGCTGGAGAGCTGTAGTCATCTATCACAGTAAAGACAAGGGGTGGGCATCAAACCTCCACTTCTAATTGCTCCTTTCAGAACTATTTCAGAAACTTAAACTTTTTGAAGATTAAGATTTGCACCTCTCAAGCCACTTTGAAACTGCACTCAAAGACCTCATTCCAGTATTTCATTTTAAAAAAAATTAAAAGTCTTATTCATTGAGCCTGCTTTGTTTTTATCTCCTGCAGTTTCACAGAAACATGCTCAATCGACCTTTCACAGCGAACATCTCTTTCTCAAGGACAGAGCAACAGTCAGAACATGAAGCAGAAACGCAAATGAACTGGGTGAACTTCTTAAAAGGAGACGCCTGTGTGGAACAAGATCCGTGTCTATCATAGCTGTTAAAAAGCAGAATTCTGATTTTTAAACATTTTCCTTTCATAACTCAGTAGCCTGCAGCTTTTATAGGTTCATTCTTGGGAACCGCAGTCATAACGACAAATTAAAGTCTCTTCATTTCAAGCATGGCTTCTAAAACCGCTCTCTGGGCCTGATGGGTACCTGTGTCATCGGAGGGATCTTGTCCCACTCGTTCTTCTGGGGGTTATAGACATCAACGTCCGCCGAGTCGTCCCTGGAACGCAACAACGAGACTGAGACCTCGTGGCACATCAACACGCCTCTCTCCACCACTCACACACTGCACGGCTCCCGGACCACACCCCCGCAGGGGTGAGAACCCCCAAAAGCAATATCGGCAGTATCACACAGGAGTGAAAACAGCACAGGAACACAAGCGGCTAGAACACAACGGGTTTTTTTTAATATCGTTTAAGCAGTTGTGTTGAACAGAGCAATAACAGGTTTATCTGTATCTCATGAAGTCAAGCGGGCCAATCTGAAGGCATTAAGACTCCCGGTCGCTCACACCGTTCAGGAGCTCAATACTCCCGGGCTCCAGTGCAGAAACAGCTCGAGGAAATACAAGCGCATTTTCAAGTAGATGAATGTTTTTTTCTGTGAGCACAGGGGGTCTCCTCTGGGTATGCAGGTGTCCACTGAGGTGAAAATGGAAGGGTCTGGCGATGCAGAGAGAAGATCAGCTTCTGGAAGGCAGCTGCTGGAAGTATTGTGAAGGACACCAGTCATCCTGGCTCCTCACTGTTCTCCCCCTTCCCTCTGGTGAGCGTTATGGGAGTATAAAGGCATGAACATCCAGACTCAGAGACAGCTTCTTCCCTCAAGCTGTCAGATTACTGAACTCTACCCCCACCACTGGCTCACACTGATGGGGTTTTTTTTCTCTAAGATGTATGTTATTTAACTTGTTGTTGTTGCTGCTCTGTGTTTGTTGTCCTTGTATAGTAGCATACATGCAAATAAGCCTTTAAATCGCACACGACAAACTAAAACCGAACCGAAACGTTTGCAGAGCCGGAGACCCCGTTGTTACCTGACGAAGTAGATCAGGCCGTTGAGGGTGACGGTCTTGGGAGCGAAGGACCAGGGGGGCAGCTGACCGCAGTTGACCAGGGCCCAGCGGTCACTCTGGGGGTCGTAGCTCTGGATGGCCATGGTGTCCTGGCCGGCCAGCGAGCCGATGGCGTAGAGGCGCCCCCTGCAGGCGGTGGTGGAGCAGTTGTCCATGGGGTGCAGCATGGGCTGGAGGGGCTCCCAGCAGTCCAGCACGTGGTCGTAGCGCTCGGTGCTGTCGGACGCCACCACGTGCAGCTGGCCCTTCAGCACGCAGGAGCTGTGGTACTCCCGCGCCTTCAGCATGGGCGACACCTCCGTCCACTCGTTCACGCTGGAGTTGTAGCGCCACACGCCGTCGTAGAGCCGCGAGCCGTCCGAGCCTCCTGCAGGGGCACAGACCAGCGGCTCCGGTCAGCACGCGCGAACTCCCTCCTGCTCCACCCCACCCCTCGTCACCGATCGCTTCCCGAGCCCGAGCCCAGACGAGGTGCTTGGAAAATGGGGAACGGCCGCAGGACAGGCTGGGCCAGTCCGGACCACAGGAGGGGGGGAGGGAGGTCAGGGCGAGAGGGGCAAACACGAAAGCGAAGGCAGGGTCAGCGGCCAGATGCAGGCGAGCCGACCGGTCAGAGGTTACCGCTGTGAGGGGCCAAGCTGAAGAACGAACAAGAACAGCCCTACAGGTCTGAACCACCTGAAAACGTCCCTCTGGGGAGGCCAATCATCACTGTGCAGGCAGAACCCCTTCACACCGAGAGAAATTCGCTTCTGAAGCCGATGGAAACATTTTGGGCCAGGATTTTCTCCCGTCTCCCATCTCCCTTCCGACTGGCAATTCATGTACACAGGATTCCCATCCCTGTTCCTGCTCACTATACACATTCATGGGCTTTTTAGAGCTACATGGCATTTTCTAAAAAGGTTGGCTTTTGACTTAATGTCTTTAAGGTTCCCTTCAGTGGCAAAAAAAAATACCACTCAGAAATTTCAATAACTGGTAATAGCAAGCACACCAGCCTGGCTCTTAAACCAAGGGAAAGGGAATTATAAACATTCAGAAAAGAACAGATAAAGCTTTTGATGGAAATCTATAGGTTCCTGAAATGCTACTTCATTCTCTACGTTCATTCTGCAGACGTCTGCTGTGCACTGCTGCTCGGGAGCTGCGACGGTATCTACTACTGGAGGATCAGTGTGTTGTTTTGGGAATTTGCCACATGGCATCCATTTTTAGGGATGTGCAAAGAGGACTCTTCGGTAACAGGCCCTATTTCCGTGCTCCGAGCCCTCCTTTCTCTGAATCACACTAGCAGGACTGCTGCGCGGGCAGCACAACACTTTTGGGAAGTGCGAGTCCAGTAACTTCTTTGGCAGAACACTGTGTCCCCCCTTCCATCTCTCTCTCTCTCTCACTCACACAGCAGGACAGGAGCAGCGGTATTTATAAACCTGCTGCCTGCCCCTTCGTCACACAGAGGCCTGGGAAATATCACAGCTTCCACATCAATCCAGTGGAACACAAACAAAGCGAGTCTGCAGTACGCTCCCTGACGAGCTCACTCTGCACAGGCAAAAACAGCCCCATTTTGTGGAAACGCACCGCCAATACAGAACACATCCCTCCAATCGAAAATCCATCACATCGGCGCATTATTATTTGGAGCTTCTAAAGGCTCACATTTCTCATCAGCACAATTCCATTCCTTCGTTTTCTTGAATATTATTAAGGCACGTGAAAAGGTATCGATCACCACGCAATCGATAAAAGGTCAGCTGCCCAAAGGTTAATAATTTACCGTGAGCGATGACCTGATGTGAACAGGGAGATAATCGATTTGTTGGGGGCAGCACAGCGCATTGTGTGAACTGGTGGACCCATGGCTGACTGGCTGTGGGTTCGAGTCCCAGCCGCGGGCTCTGCTGTCCTGCCTTGAGTGAGTCACTGTACCCCAGCTGTGTAAGTGGGGAGCAGCACTGCTGGGGGGTAACTCTGCGATGGACTGCGGGGGGGGATCATGTGCTCCAACACTACAGAAACCAGGCCGGGAACAGCAGAAAGGCTGAAGGTTACGTTCCTCCAATTTGTTCAGCCTGGACTTCACCCTGACTAGATCCTTCGCGGCCAGTGCACAAACAGAGCAAGGACCCTCCCGCAAGGAGCCCCGCCCCCTCGAGTCGCGCGGCCGCCGGTCCGAAGCCGACCCGGACCGCCGGCCCGGCTCCACCTACCTGTGACGTACATGTCGTTGCCGAGCGCCGAGATGCTGTAGCCGCCCCCCAGGTGGTCCGGGAACTCGGCCAGGTAGCGCCACTGGCCGGTCTGGGGGTTGTAGCAGTCCACGGTGACCAGCTCGTCGCAGTCCTGGTCGCAGCCGCCCACCACCACCAGGATCTCGGCCAGGCCGGTGGAGGGGCGCGGCCGCATGCGGTGGCAGGGCCGGTCGTGGCGGTCGTACGCGCAGGACTGGAAGGCCCGGGCCTCGCTGACCAGCCGCAGGCAGGCCGGGGACAGGTAGACCAGGGGGTCGCTCTCCACGTGGGCCAGCAGGTAGAAGCGGCGCACGAAGGGCAGGCGCACCTGCTGCAGCAGCTCGGGCCAGCGGTGCAGGCGCCGCTGGGGGTCGGCCTTGACCCAGCGGGCGGCGATCTGGTAGGCCGTCTCCTCCTTGTCCACGCACAGCCCGTCGTCCGACACCAGCTCCAGCAGCCGCTTCCAGGGCAGCCGGGCGAAGTCCTTGCCGCCGGCCAGCTCGGCCACGTTCCTGAGCGCGAAGCGGCGGGCGCTCTCGGCCAGCCCCCGGCAGGCGTAGGCCTCGGCGAAGTCCTGGATCTCCAGGCAGTTGGAGACGTCCAGCCGCTGCTCCAGGAAGGCGCAGCAGGCCTCCTTGACCGAGGGGAACTGGAAGAGGTCGGCCGTCTTGAGCAGCAGGTCCACGTTGTCCTGGCTGACCGTCACGCGGCCCGTGTAGCAGAAGTCCAGCAGCAGGCCCAGCAGCTCGGCCGACACCTCGTGCAGCTCCACGCAGTCCATGGCGCTCTCCCGCAGCGTGCCGGCGAACATGGCCTTGAAGTAGTTGCTGGCCGCCGCCAGCACCGCGCGGTGGCAGGGGAACTCCCGGCCCTCGGCGCGCAGCGTGACGTCGAAGAACTTGCGCTCGGCCCGCAGCTCGTGGATGCCCCGCAGCAGGTTGAGGGCGTGGGCGGTGTCGAAGAAGGGCAGCGTGGAGGGCTGCGTCTGGACTGTAGGCTTCTCCATGGGGAGGCCTGGGGGGTGGGGGGTTGGGGTCTCTCTCTGAATCTGTGCTGCTTCGGATCTGCTTCCTGGGCTCTCAGAGCACCGCGCGCAGCTGGGGGGTCAAACGCGGGCCAGTCAGCGTTTCCGCCCCTCCCGATCGCCCCGAAGTCTGAAACAAACGACTCCGTCCACTCCCCAAGCACAGCGTTCCGCTGAAATAAGAGGCGTCCCCACAACAAGCAGGCTTCTGTAAAAAAAAAAAAAGGAAAGACGAGGTCGTTAAGTGAAGATCCAGGGTCGTAGTCGGACACTACAGCAGGAGGGGGAAAATCTGCCTTCTAGGGATCAGCGAGCACTGTAACAGATGATTGCTGGATACGTTACAGGAAACTCTGAAGGCTCCGTTCACAACAAGCAATCGGTCACGTCTGACGGGACTCTCAACAGACCGCCGTCTTGAGAAACAACACAGAGGATTAGTTCACATGCACGTTTTCGATACCAACTTAAGCAGCTCCCCCCCAGTTTTTTGGCAATTCTCTCGATTTCCCCCATATCCCTCGTGTTTTAATACCAGCCTCCGTACTTATCATATAATCCGACCCCCGTATGAGAGACCGAGAACAGAGCCTGCACACGGTGAGCACAGTCTTCTCGCTTGTGGCAATAACACACTCCCCCTAGAAAAACCATACCACGGCCAGAAATGTTATCTCGCGCGGGAACCTCGGTTTTTCAGGCTGATCCTTTGGCGGTAATGTCAAGGGTAGTTACCTGCGAGACCTCGAGTGGACTTCTGTACAGGACCACAGGAAAAATAAACTCTCGGCAGGGAGAAGCAGGACGAGACAGTAAGAGTGACCAGTTCCAGGGCTCTTCTTTGAAGAAAGACAGCTGAGCTGTCCGGCAGGTCTATAAATACCCTCGGAGACAGTGACCATTCCTCGCGGAGGTGGGGCTGGGCTCTTCTTACTCGCCTGACTTGAGCAGACAGGAAGATGTCGTCACCTGCAGCCCCCCTCCCGGTCTCGGTGAATCAGTCCTCCTGAGTAACAGCTCGTGTATCTTAACCCCTGGAGACTTGGAGTCGCCGTGCTCTTACCAGAAAGGGCATGATTGTCTCAGACCAGAAAACCCCAACAACTCTAGCACACAACTCTCTGAAGCTCACCAGGCTGCACTTGATCCAAACTAAAAAGCAAATTAAGCGAGCTAGCATAATTAAAATGACCTAATCATGCTAGCACGTAAATTAACAGTACGGTAATTGCACACTCTCTCAGCGTTTCAGATGAACCGCCCTGTTAACTCGTGCTACACTACAACCCAGTATCTACAGTATTCTATATCCTGGTAAACTCCAACCCACGTTATACAATCAGGCCCGAACTTAAAATCTTTTTAAAAAATGTCTAGAATCAACACTGATCGAGTCACGTGGTTCTGTACTACTAAACTGCAGGTTTATGACGCGTCATCCATTATTCCGCAGCACGCTAACTGCTAAAATTGGAAAGCAGTTCAATCAGAAAGGATCTCGGCGCGTTGAACGGGGAACAAAAGCCACAGTGTCAGCAGGGAGGAAGGTTCTGGAGGAGCTGCCTCTGTGACCTGCCCCGGCCTCACATTTCAGCCTATAAATATCCACGGCTCTGGGCAGAATCCCCGGCCCAATCACAGAGACCTCTGCCCTTCTCCACGTTCCCCAGCGCAACGCTGCTCTCCGCGGGTTCGGTCGGCAGCCTGACCTTTCCGGGGATAAGGACCAAGTGCCGAAAGGACTCTAATCCAGTGCAGAGCTACTGTAGCACAGAGCGAAGGACTGCTTGGTGCAGAAGCAAAACGCACAGCGTCTTGGCCTCCTAAGGCTCGTCAATGAACCCTCAATACACGCTGGCAGCGCGGGCTCCCCCACACTCCCAGTCCCGCGGTTCGGGTACCAGCTTCCTGGCTCAGCATCTGCGGCAGACTCTGCGTGAGGTGCAAGGCTCCCATCTTTCCAGGCTGGGGGGAGGCCTTTCCCAAAGGGACTCCCCCCCATTCCAACATAAAAATCGAACGGAAAGCTGTAGCAAATACAAAGACGTCCCCCATGGCAAAGCAAATCCTAACACGTTACCAGCAAATCCACAGATTAAGTATCGTGGGATCTGGTACACTATGAAGACGCATCATTCGCGACTGAAGAGGAGGTGATAAGTTTCCCTTGGTTTTGGGGACCCCCTGGATAGACCCCACAACCTCCAAGGATTTCCCAGCAAAAAAAAACAAAACAAAGGAAGACCTGTATCAGAATCAAGACAGTCCGTTCACAAAACACCCAACTCCAGCAACTCATCTGCTACCTGAGCGATATGTAATGATAAAGGGAAATGATTTTGTATTCAACGTTACCAGAAAACGTGCACATTGACAAACCTCTAATCTATTTTTATTGGCATTAAAGAGCACCTGATAGACAATGGAGCACACTACAGAAGAATTAGGTCTATATAGGAAGTCTGCATAGTCTGAAGGCTTGGTAAAGAAAGAATTCATTTCAAGACAGGAGGCTATGGATGTAAGCCTCCATTCAAAGCCCTTTAAAACCCACGCGCCGACAAAAAGCATCTAAACATAACAAGCTAACAAAACTCTACGGAAGGCTGCTGCAGCGAGAGAATGGGAGGCTGATTACAGTGATTGAATTGAAGCGATTTGAACGGGAAGCATCAAGGATCCTACAGCAGTCACAAAATTAAAAATCTCAAAAGTGCAGTGAGCCAAGAATCCCCTTCACAGAACTATACTCCAGCTAAGAAAAATAAAACAACCTCTTCTTCGTTTTATACTGCGCATCAGGCAAATTCATTTCTGGGCGGAATGTGACCAACAGAACTACGTCAAGGAAAACTGCCGAAGATGAAGGAAAACGGAGTCTTAACTACTGAAAAACAATTACAAAGGTTTACCAAGAAAATGTGCACATGCCACACACGGACAGATACATCTGGCAAACGTTTTAAATATTTTTGAAATCGTAATTAGAAAATCAATGCCTCCGGTTTGTAGCAGGTGTGAACGCCTTACAGAATGAATGCAGACGCACATCCAAAAGCCCCCTGTTGCACTGTGAAACAAACCATCTCCAACTGCACAGCAGCTAGCAGAGAGCAGAGCACAGCCTCCTTCAGATCCTACCCGGTCAGGAAAGCACAGCTCCTACGAACTCCAGGATGCCTGGCACGTGGCTGTGACCGAGCTGATATTTTAAAACCAGGAAAGAGGAAGGCACATTTCAGCTGCAGTTTATAGGAAGTCGTTTCTGGTTTGACAAAGAGAGCTTGTGGACCGCCTTCTGAGGCCGTCTAAGGGCTAGTATCTTCTGGCACCTGCTCCAACACGACTGCGTGGTTAAACAATTCACTGAATTATTATTTTTTAGGTACAGACATATACAGGAATCGTCAGGAGACCTTTCACAGATCCTTCGAGACATACACCCATCTATTTTCTAACCAGCTCATCTCATTCAGGGTTGCCAGGGTTGCCCATTCAGGGTACGAGGCAGGGCACACCCTGGATGAGATGCCAGTCCATCAGTGTTGGAAGGTACAGCCACACGGAAAAACTCCCCGGAGCCCATTCAAAAGCAGTTGCGCAATTAGACTGACTATGTGGCAGAGCTCAGGTGAAAGGAAAACAAGAGGACACCGGGCCCCGCAGGAGAGGAGGCCGAGACTCTGAGTCTAAGGCTAAATAATAAAGCTGATCCCTCCCACCGATCTGGCTCCGACAGTCTCGCTGGCTGCCAGCCCAGAAACACACTCCGCAGATCCCGACAGCAAAGTCCTCAAACAACCTGGGCAGCGATGACGTCACAGCACAAGAGGAGACCTGCGCGGCGTCCGCACAGAGACCGAACACTGTGCACAAGCCCCCAGGAGCAGGACAGCGCCACCTGACCATCAGCCACCCCCTACAGATGTTCCCATCCGCAGGGGTCACGGAGCGCAACGATCCGATCTGAACAGTTGTCTCGGAGACCATTTCCTCTTGACACCCGGCGCCAGAACGCGCCATCTCAACACCTGTGCAGCGGTGATCCCGGTGATCAGGCCGGGATCAGGACTCTGGAACACGTCAGACTGCGAGGCATGGAACTAGCAACTCTGGTGACACAAGATGCACTTAACTGCGGTGACCTCCTACAGCGCCTGATTTAAAAAAAAATATCTGTGTAATTTGCACATGACATCTATTGAGCAATTCTAAGTTACAGGCTTAGTTTACAGGGACACCAAAATTGGCAGGGGACAGAAAGAAAGCGATCCAGCCCTTGCAGTGGGATGGAGGCCTACGGCGGCTGGTATGGCATTTGTTTACTGGGCGAGCAGCACGCAGACAGCAGTGTCTCCATGTGATGACCACGGCTGCCAGCCCACAGAGCGCATTCTTAGCGTGCACTTCCCCAAGCGGTGCCAGGGAGAGTTTGGCTCCACATTCCACTGCCCTGGAGGTGCTCGCTCACCAGGCTCTCCTTTACCCAAGGGGCTGTGGACTGAGTGATATATCGGCTTCATCTACACGTGATCCTTCAAGAATCAGCTGGATGAGATCCTCCAGTCAGGACAGGAGGCACTTCTCAACCTTAAGGGTGGTGGGAGTGTAGAACAAGCTGCCCAGCTGTGTGGTTGGAGCCTACATCCTGTGATCTGTCAAGAAACAGTTGGATGAGATCCTTGACTCAAGACAGGAAGCACTTCTTTACCCTAAGGGTGGTGGGAGCGTGGAACAAGCAGCCCAGCTGCGAGGCTGAAGCCTACATCCTGTGATCCGTCAAGAAACAGTTGGATGAGATCCTTGACTCAAGACAGGAAGCACTTCTTTACCCTAAGGGTGGTGGGAGCATGGAACAAGCAGCCCAGCTGCGAGGCTGAAGCCTACATCCTGTGATCTGTCAGACAGAGATTCTCAAAACAGTTTTGGGGTTCATGGGAGCGGGGTCACCAGGTCTGCTTCTCAGGGGTCTTTTCAGAAGCAGCTAGAAAGGATCCTTGGACCGGTGGGCTAATGGCAACAGTTATGCTCGTTCCTTTTCCTTTGTAGCTCAAGCTCCAGATCAGTGTTTGAAGCAGGCATTATCTGGGACGGTCTAGGAGTTCTCAGTTTAATAGCCTAATTGCAACTTATTTCTTAAACATATCACCGATAACAGATTATGTACACCTTACGATACTCAGAACGCTCACTGCAATTAGGGAGCTGCAGTACTGTAAAGTAAGACTTTTTAAATGTTATTTAGATGAAGGTCATATGTGGCTGGAGGGGAGACAATGAAAGCCCAAACTGGCCGTTACACCGCCCCACAGCCACCATTATCACACCTCGAACCTCCACTCTTCGGCAGTTCCCCCTCTCACAGCTACAACCACAAAGTCAGACCCTCTCCTCCACCTCTTAAAGGGACAGCACACTTACAAGCCATTTTTTTTTCTGCAGAAAGAAAGCCAACACCACATTCAGGTCCATATTAGTTATGTCCTTACTCAGTCATAGGACAAGATTTCCAAGGCCAGACTGTAGAGCAACAAAAATAACACCTCGCATCTCGAGCATTCAACAAGGATTAGTCACGTCTTGGGAAACCAACCATACAGTAATGAAAAATACAAATATCTGAATAAATTGATGACCTGAAAATGTTTTGCTATTATGCTCAGAATCAACTTGCTTTACTTAAGTGTCCTGAATAATGTAAAAGCCAATCAGATCAGTATAGCCCTTCCCTATACCAAAGCCTAAAGTCAGTGAGGTCTGTCCATCAGGGGTGCAACGCTTTGAAAAACAGGTTGCCAGCAGGACATTTGTGGTGTTTTGATAAAATGGGAAGACAGAGCTGGAGTTAGTTCTGTCCCATCAGAGAAATTTAACAGCACCTTTGTTGTACAAAGACTTTAGTGGGTCTGCTGGCTGGTCCTGGAGATGTAACTATGCTGAGTAACACGGTTCACATGTGGAGGGCTGGCACCATGATTACCCACCCATACATGTTGTATGAACGAACACATGCTCTGCACTTCAGTTTGAGTCAAAAGCGTATGACATACTGTATACGGTCAGCATCACAGCATCTAAATCTTGGAACCACAATCATTTTAGGACAGCCTATCAACCAGAGACACTGCCCTTGTGAAGTCCAGAGCCAAAATGCTCAGAAAAAAACGCCCTTTGGCAACAGGACGCTTATTTCTGGTAGAGGTTTGTGGAGATATGTGGAGATTGTGGCACATGGCAGAACAAAACCGGGAGATGGGATGCCAGTCCATTCCAAGGCGCACGCACACAGGTAAGAGTCACCCATTGATTCAACCAGCACGTCCTTGCAAGTTGAGAGCAACTGGGTAACCAGGTGAACACAAGGCCAACATGCAGACTCCACACAGAAGGTGCTACAGTGTGGAGTTTAACCCAGGACCCAGAAGCTGTGAGGCACCAGCATTAAACACTATGCCGTCACATTAATACACCTACAGGTTGTCTAATCAATACTTTTAAAGATTAATACAGTTTGGAAACAAACAACATTACAAATAACACCAGGCTTGAACTACATAAAACAATCTCTCAAGGTCTTCGCCTTAAATACAGGCCCTACACTAAAGGATGCAGGATTAAAGGATGAACTGCTATAAGAGAAACGACAATAAACTGGTCTTATGCTTTAATATTCTATTTTTAAATATATTATAATATATATTTTTAATATACCAAAGACAACTAAAGCAAATCCGCCTTATTCTTATATGGATCAATAAGGCATGTGTCTCAAATATATTGAGGCCCAGCATGGAATGTTTTAATGCCTAAAATATGATGTATAACTTAAACTGAGCTCTTTTATTACAAGTAATACAATGCAGATTTGGAATAAAGCTATCCTGCTATTGTTTAATAAAATTAAAAGGAAAAAAACACATCATGAACAAGCCATAAAGAATGCCCATCTGGAATCCAGCCTGCAAACAAATACCATTGAATTAAAAACAGGCCGACTACATGTGACATCCACTACCACTGTAAACAGCACAGCACCAGCAAAAAAAGTGCCCCCTGCTGGCAGTACTTTGCCTGGCACAGGAATTTGTAAAAACATCTTTTAACAGTTTACAAATAATTCCGTTACTCTTAACCAGATTACAACGCCAGTTTAAGCACTGCTGCTAGATCTGACATACTAGAATGCATTTTAATTTGACTGAAAAGGGAAAACTGAATCAAAAGGCACAAAATTAGATTAAAAAATACTCAAATGCTCACAAAGAAAAACTCAGGCCTTAAGTATATAAACCTATTTTCTTTAATATAATCTAAGTTTATGTGATACTAAAAAGGCTCAAATCAAGAAAACACAGTTTAACCCCAGTTTAGAAATACAATAATTATAAATAAAATCTACTATGAACCACTGAACTGCAGGTCCAATGTGCTGTAAAAGCACATTCGGAGCATAAATCTTATTTATAACAGGGTGTTACTGTTTCTGGGGATCCTACAGTACCCTCAAACCCATCTTCCAGCACCCCTATTCCCCACCACCCTGGTCAGTCAACTTGTATTGTACAACTGGTCACCCTTGTTCTGTCTGAAGGTGATTCTTACTGTAGGCCTCCCACGCGAGGCCACGCCCCTCCTGCCTGCCCCACTGTATCCCAGGATACCCTGACGCAGGGCAAGAGGCCTGCAGGCTGGGGCCCGGCCTTCTCCTGCTGCCGATCTCTAACACAGGCCGCCCCAGAAGACCACACGGCACCAGCACAGTCAAGCACAGTCCACTTGCCCCTGGACACACACGGGCACCTGGGGCACCGAGCCAGCAGTGGGAAAGATCTCATAGATTAGGGAGCTTCAGAAATCGGCATGTAGTGGCTTTCGGGTAGGAATTGCTGAAGCCATACAATATTTTCACAATGAGAAAGATCTAAAAAATACACATTTGACTGTCCTGCACACTCATTCTAGACGCTTGCTGGGGTGACATTCTTGAAGTTCGATCCAAAACTGTACAGTTCCACGTGTCCAGAGTAGCAAGAAACACGATCTCACCTGCCCAGCTCTGCAAGACGAGGCTGGGTCTAATAACATGGATACAGGGCACATCTGGATAATTCACTTGTGAACCACAGCTGCAACCAAACAACTCCACTGACTGACTGTGCCAACAGAACCCCTGGCCACCTAACTCACCCTGGCACCAGTGTTTAAAATGATAGCGCTCTCACTCAAGTATACCATAAAAGGCACCAGCTCAGGGAGCTGCTCATGGCTTTGCATTCCTTCTGAGGGGTATCTTTGGCACAGAGTGCGAGTAGATAAGAGAACAGTGGAGCCCTGTTAGAAATCCTGAGCTGAGACCGCAGCACGGCGAATCAGAGACGGCACCCGGCCGCACAGCAATTTAATCCACCTCCAGGTTTACAAAAAATGCGTGCACTTGTAAGAAAGCAGGAAGGGAATTTTCTCTTAAGTTCTCCGTCTGCCTATGCAGGATTTCTCAAAATAAAGTAACAAGCACGAAAGCTCCATCATGTGTGCAGAGGAAAATAAACCCATAAGACATGAAAGGGCTCAAAACTGCTAGAGCAATGGAATCGGACTTGTGCTCCTACACAACCCAACCCGCCCATCCTGAGCCTATAGGGCAATGACCTGACCCTGCACCTACTAGGCAGCCCTGATGTAAACTGTTGTTGGAGTCGCTGTCACATTAGGGACTCCCAGGAACAAACCCTGGAAAGATACCTTCCCACTAACTGGAGTCGAGATCTCTAGTCCAGAGGCTGTGGGAAAGTCCTATGTCAGCCGGCTGTGACCAGGATTCATCAAGGGGCACAGCAGTCGCAGGGAAGCAGTAAACCACGGGTTTGGGAAGGTACGAGTAGAAATATCATTAGAATTGCCGTTGCACAGTGTTGGAGTGTGTTTTGCCTAGGCTTAGCCTGCCTGTATCCCCGTTTGCAGCCGTCTTGCAGGACATGCGATCCTAACGTCTGGAAAAGGACAGCGATTACCACGTACAGACTAGAAAGAGCTGCAGGTATCTCCCCCATAGCTGGCACTATAAACCCTCATCTGCTGAGGGGGTCATTCCTACTGTCCTCGGACGGACCACTGACAAACATCCAGGCATTCAAGAAACGCCTGGATATTCAGGTGTCTTTCCGTACTCAGAAAAGGGTATTCGGGCATCTTGCACTCAAACTTGAAACGTTTTTTTTTGCAATGTGTCAGGAAAAATGCATAAGGCCCTGCACTGCTCTCACTGTACAAACAGTGAGGACGGGGGTAAAAAGATATAAAACAAGACAAAATCCATCACACTTACAGTAGCTACCCCCCCAGAGCAGTTTGCCTTCATCTTTCTCCCCCAGGCACGTCTGATTGCAAACAAGCCCGGGCAAAAACTTTCAAAACCCCGTTCCCCCTTCTTGTCCTGTTATAACTTAAATATTTAACCTTTAAAAAGAATCATCTTCCATGTTCAGACTTTTCCACCCTTCTGGCCCCTGAATGCCAACTTTGCACATCAGGTGGCAGATCTGCGGCTGCCGTCTGGCTCACTGGACCCGAAATAAAGACTCATTAGCCCTAATTATACGGGACTGAAACTTCCTACAGAAACCCCAAATGCTGCTATTGTAAATAGACGGCACTCTCTACCGTGCTAAACGATCTTTCAAAAACTTTCCGAGTGATTTCTCAGTTCAAATAAGGTAGGACTGTCTATCCGGGGGCGAAGGCGATGTCTGTTTTAGGTACAAAGAATGAAGAGAACCATGATCGTTACCAAGCTGCGTTAATTGTGTCAATCCGTTAAGATAATTAAGACCAAAACACAGGTCCCTTTGTTTCTTTTGACAGTGTAGTTATATAAGCCGAGCACTTAGCGCGCTTCAAATATAAAAACACTTAAACGCAGGATCTACATCAATACGGCCAGAACCTTATAAATAGACACAGGAAAGTAAAACTGTGATCGCAAACGATCCATTAACATGAACAAACGACGAACGAGAACAAGAAACGGTCTGCTTGCACGGCAGACCTGCAGTTACTGTACACCACGCAGGCTGACTCCGTCCGGGACCGTCTCACTAAAAACAACAATAACAACAACAACACATTTTCCTTCTCTTACCCACAACAAGAGCGTCCCGGGTGCAGCACCGACAGCGTCCACGCAACCGAGGGCAAAATGTCCGTGTTTTCTGCTCCGAAACCCCTCTCTCCGCTAGGCCCGCTAACGTCTGTCCGGGCACCTCTCCTGCGCCCCGAGTCCCGAGGTATGCGGCCATGCCCGTTCAGGGGCCGGACTCCCCATTGGACGCGCCGGCTGGGCTCCGAGTGACGAGCGGCGCTACATGTTGCCAAATCCGTGAACAACTACAGAGACTCCCCCTGGCCTTCCAGAGCGCTAACGGTCTCGGTGTGCTATTTATGGACCATGACGGGCTTTTTTTGAAACCGTATTCCTTTTTTTCCCCCCTCCTTTCCATAGGATGTGCCTTTTTTAAGCGACTGGGTTTAATCTCTCTCTCTCCCGCATTCCCTCACCCTCAAAAAAAAAAAACTTGGCTCGTTTCCGACAGCCGTCTGGGAGAATTGTTCCTGAAGCCAAGAGTGTCGGATACACAGCTCGACTTTATGAGCTCATTTCACACCACTGCCAGTCTATTCCGAAATAAAAGGTAGGCAGACTGTTGTACCGCCACGCCGGTATTCTGGCGAGCTTCTCTGCTTCAGGGCTGATTTATGCTACAGGGAAGTGGGGCGGGTGTGAGTGTCAGGCTAATAAACCCCCTTTTTACATGCATTAACCGACAAACCCACAGGGGAACGACTGCCGAGGGCGATAACGGCGAAGCACAACCTGCCCTGGCCCCAGAGAGCCCTCTCGCATTGGGAGCGTTATCTCCGCCGAACACAGGCTGCCTCTACCCCTCCAGACAGCAGGAAACAGCGGCTGGCCTGGAGGATAACCCCTCCCCTCTCCCAAATACCGGGGGGCCACACTATACCCGCACACTGCTGTCACATCACGCAGCGTGCTGGCATCTGCGCCCCGAGGTGCCCCTGCGAGCGGAAGGGGAGTTGGGGTTCAAGGAACGGCTTCAGGGGTATCGGGGCGACTCGTGATTTTTTTTTAACACACCGGTGGAGTGGTTTATGCACTGAAGGTGATTTTACCGAAGTGAACGCAACTACCCTGGAAGCCGTGCACTCAAGCACGCCTTAACGTTGTTCTGTCTGCTCTTTCTTGTTCGTTCTGCAAATGCTGTGAGCCCGATCGCTCTAGGTGTCTTTTCGGGGGGTGGGGAGTTGGATGGAAATGTAGGAAAGACACCCGGGTTGTTCTCTGACCACGCATGTGAGAATCAGGCCCTGTTCCGCCCAGGGAAGTCTGCGCTTTCAGCGGCTGAAGTCCCTGATTGGGCTTCTCAGAGCGGTGGGTTTTTATCACATGTCATTTAGAAAGCAAAATCACACTGCATTGAAAAAAAAAAGTATACTGTGCTAGGTGAAAAAAAAAAAATGATCGCTTTTTAGGAAGGCGAAGTATTCCGAGGTACATTAACAGATCGGCATCAGTTTTCACATTACAATAATATCGCTCTTCTCGCGACCAACAAAAGCAATATTTTCACGTCGAAAACCGAAGAAGCTTCATACTTACAATAACGAAAAACAAAGAGAAACATGATTTAAAGCGCCCATCATAAAAAAAAAAAACAGATTCCCCCACCTTTCTCAGACTTTCGGCACACCGACAGACACAGGTAGGTTCTGCACTTCGATCGTGTTCGTGGACGAGCAGGGAAAACTCCTACATCTGAATAACTATGAGAGCTTTCTAGGTTTACAAAAAAAAAAAACACAATACAAAAGACGCTACATAAATGCGTTGAGAAAATAGTTAATTCTCGCGCAATCCATACACCCCGGAACCGCGAGCGTGGAAGGATAAATCCGTAGAGCGCATAAGACTGTAGGAATTCAGAAAGGGGATTATTGCGCGTACATATGATCGGCTAGTTATTGATTTTATCACCTGAATGAAATATCATTGACATGTGTAACTTTAAAAATAGAACCTTACTTATTTTCCTTAATTATTTACGCCCTACGATTTCCACGCGGGTTCGGTTTTTACAGTTAGAAGAAACGGTTTCCCCTCCTTCTTCCTCCACAATGGTTTCTTCTGATTAATATGCAAGCAGCGGGTCTGCTGTGACGTCACAGACCGGGTTACTATCCGCTGGGTGGATGTCACAGAGCCATAGTTCGGCTGGCGTGTAGCAGCAGGAGTGATACTTTAATTTCTGATAGGGATTTCGGACATCTCTTTATTTTTCCCCCACCCTTTTTTTAACCGCTTACAGCCGCCGTCGGTATTTATCGGGAATCTTTAAGGAGTAAAACTTTTGAAATGTTTTTCTTTACGTCCACGGACGGCTCGACGTGGTTCCTGGTCAGTCATCGACTCCGCCAGTGGACAGTCCGGAGGACCCAGCGATTTCTTTGAAAGTCTCTCTTTTTTTTTAGATAATAATTTTCAACGAATTCATCTTGTATCTGCGCCTCGTGATGTATTCTACCCACCGAGGCGCACAGAAGGGCTGATTAGAGAAAACCGGAGATCAATCGGCAGACCTGGAAGCTGACAGCCTCCCAACTTTTCTCTCTTTTTTTTCCAGGCAACGCGATTAAAGATGTTATTCGAATGATGTTGTGAACAGTTAAGGGTTCGGGACACCGCCTTCGCCTGGGCATTAAACTGAGCTTTCGAGGGGGAGACACCAGGCAAAGTAGCCGTGGATATCATGAAACACACACATCAGCAGGAGGGAGACGAGAAGCTGATTGAACTCGCATATTGAAAACAAAATCCTTTTCCGTCGTTGTTGTTGTTGTGTTTTTGAAGACGTGGGGGCAAGGAGACGGCCTTCCGCTGAAGCAAAATAGACTTTTGTGATTTACAGAAGTGTTCTGGAGCTCCGGGGGGGGTCAGAAGTCCAACACCCATTTTTTGTTTGGCGTTGTGGCTCGCCTCGGTTCATCTGCTCACAGTTGTCTTTGCCTTCGCGAAATGGATACGGCCTCGTCGTCTACGCTGGATTCAGAGGTGAGCCCGTTTTCTCCGATCGAGCCAGCGGTTCGGCACAATTGCACGGCGGAACCGTTTCTGGATCTGGGCACCGCCGGGAGGAGAGGGAGGAGGAGGAGGCGGCGGGCGGCGGGGGGGGGGAGAGGCACATTTCAGACCTGCTAGCGTTACACAAACCGGTGCTTTCCCTGTTGCATGTGTGTCGCAGTGGTGGTCGTTTCCGAGCTCTGAAGACTTTTGTCAGCTCTGCCTTGTGAGCTCTAGCGATGCCCCCCGATCAATTCGATGCGGTGTTTGATCGGTCTCTGGTTACACATCACGCCATCTTGTCTCTCTGCTGTCAAAAAAAAGTAGTTCAATTTTGTTGTCAGGGGCTTTACCCACCCCGCCGACAGTGATCTTTCCTCCCCGAAACGATCTCCCCGTCTCCGTACTCGATCGCAAAACTCCATCGTCTCGTCCTGTGCCGTACGGATCTCGGATCTTTTTTCAGAAGGGGGGGCTAGTTCCGTGGAGCACGGGGGTTCGCCATCTTGTTTCTGTAATTGTATGGATAGGTATCGATAGGCAGGCTTTGTTTTTAATGACCTCAAACACTTGGTAAAAGTTGCATCGAAGTTACCCGGGGCTGTCGTCGGGAAGGTTCCGGGCTCCGTGCAACTGAAAAAGATTTGTGCTGTGAATCTCCGAGCCCCTCCTGCCCCCCTCCCGTGATAAACGTGCCTGTAGACAAAATGTCATTTGAAACCTCCGGCGAGAAAAGTTCATTACGCTGATTTTTTTGCGTCTGGCGAACTTCTGAAACAAGCAGATGTTCAAGATTTTTGTTTTAATATAAGAACCGATACCTGTGCCAAGGCGGTTTCGCCATTAACGCCCTTTGTTTTCAAATACAGCACAGGGGTGTCGCGATTGTGTGTGTGTGTGTTTGCGTGTCTGAGCTGGGGGGGGGTTCGACATCTCCCTGCCTGGGCACTTCACATTTTTCACCTTCGACTTCTTTAACACAAAGAGCATCGCCGCGTTGTTCAGTGTACTTTGCCGTGAAAAGCCCAAAGCCTTCTGCGGTAATGATGTCTCCCAGATCACATTAACGACTGGGCAATTCGTGTGCTCAATCGGTAAAAAAAAAAGACTGTTTTCTGGTACAGAATGCTAAAAGTATCCTTGCGCAGCAAATGCAAAACGCCCAGAGCCAGATCAGGGATGATCCATTGCCTTAATATTCCCCGACAATGGATGGAGACTATTCGACGAGTAAAAACCGGGGGTTATCTGCTTTTGGGAACAGAATTGTGCTCCGTGTTGTCTGATCGTGTGTTCCGGTCGCAGGCTCGGCAGGCAGACATACAGAACTGACTCGGTGTCGACGGTGATCGTCTGTGTTAACGTGTTCGGTGTATGGGGGGGGGGTAGGGGTGGTTCAGTCTTGTGGGTTTTTTTTTCCCCGGGATATAGAGAAATCGAACTGAAAGGCGAGTCTCTCTCGTCATAAACCCATTAGCGCCGGTTTAATCGCGCCGTGGGCGAAGCGGGCCGGCCGGACGCGACCGCTTGAACCGCACAACAAGTTTCTCGCTCGGCTGTTCAGCTCGATCCTGCGTGGGTTCCCGGTGTGGCCACATGCACAGGGGAAACGACCGCAGGAAACGCACGGACGTGTCCGGATCCCCGCCGGTGACCGGGAGAGCGACAGTTTCCCCCGGGTCAGCTCGCCGGGAAGTGTCCGGCGTTTCTCTTCACACAGAGTGCATCGCACCGGCGAAGCGCCCCGGTTAAGAGTGATTTCAAACAAACACGACTGTGGACAGGTCTGACATATCGGGGGGTTTTTGTGTGTGTTTTAATTCGATTGAGATTCCGCTTCCTCGGACGCGTTTCCCAATTTGACGGCTCGGATGCTGTATTAGCCCGGCGCGGTCTAAAAGCCTGTCTCGTCGATGGCGGATGCGGCATTTTGAAAGTTTTGCTCGAAACTGGCCCCCGAAGAGCCGTGGCGATTATGATTTCGCCCAGAATACACCCTCCCCCACCCCATTCTCTCCCCCGAGCAGAAGCCAGTGGCGTCCCCGTGTTGGTGACATTTCTGAACGGAGTGCCAGCCGCCCGTGATACTCGTTTACAGTGCCTCTGGAATGAAACGGTGTCTTGGCGCTGTCGATCAGAAACCGTCCGGACTGGAGCTCCGTCTCGGTCTGTTCTTGCATAATATTAACGCAGCCGTAGCAAACTGGCGTGTCCGCTTTCTTTCCCGGGGTGTCTCTTGGCGAGACACGTTCGGTCTGTCCCTTCTCGAGGGATCGCCAGCCGATAGATTAATGCCCACGTCTTGTGTGTGTGTGTGTGTTTCTGCATCTCGCATTAACCAGCAGTATTCATAAAACCACCGAGCGAGAGGCTCCCAAGAGCCCGAAAGGTCTCCGTTCGTTTGCGCTGCGTTTGTTAGCAGAAACGACAACTATTGCCAAAAAAGTACAGTGACCTCCCCCCGCCGGCCCACCGAGTGACGAAATCGGTTCGAGTCGGAGAGTCCTGCGCGATTTAAAGGCACAACGCGCCCGTCAGAGGCGATTCAAACTCCTGGCCGAAACGCGTCTGTGAGCGGTCAGGGAATTCATCTGTTCAACCTGCGCCGCTATGGGAAAAAATAACCCGATAATAGGAGAGAGACGACCTTCATCACAGAGCTCATGAGTGCCAGCCATCAATACATTTTCCGTCTGCTATTTTCAGTGGGTTTACTAGTACTGTGAGATTAGTATTGCCCGTTAAGAAGTTTTTTTTTTTTAATTGGGCGGTTTTGGGGGGCCGGCTTTTTTTTTCCGGCGGATTTTTTTTGTTTTTTTTTGTTAAAAGGAGTTGGGCCGGAAAGGCTTTTGTTTTTTTTTTTTGTACTAAACTAAATATTATACAAAGTTTTTTTTAATGCTACTTCAACAGTATAAAAGTACCTGAAGTTGTTAAACCTGACAGGCAGGGCATTTTTTTTTGTCACAAACAAATGTGTTGGGAATTTAACCGAAAAGCTTTCGTATGGTGCAAAGATTTAATGCTCAGTTCCGGACAGGGGTGTCGTGTTGAATGTTTTATTTATATTCTTCCTTCCTCCATATTGCGTTCCTTATGATCTGGGCTGGTTTGTGGGAGAAAAGATTCTGTTCCAAAGGAACTAACATTTGCCTCCATCTACTCACTAATACAAATACTGGGTAATTTCCTGGGTGAGATCCCATTGTCCTAGGGCACAACAGCTGTGTCTCACGTGGGATTTGAACCCACAACCTTCAAGTTACAGGTCCAGTCCTCTTGACCAGTGGTTCATATGTGTTCTTCAGTATGTGCGTGTACATGCGATCCTGTAATCATTCAAGATTTCACTGCGTGTTACTCTCTCCCGTGGCTGGGAGATTTTCTAGCTGCTTCTTCCAGTTTGGGGTTGCAGGGGAGCTGGAGCCTATCCCAGCAGGCCTTTGGAACTGCGGGAGGAAACCCGTGTAAACATGGGGGAGAACACGCAGACTCCACACAGACAGCAGCCCCGGGTTCTGGAATCGAACCCGCTGAACGAACGCTAGCCACTGCGCCGCCCGGATCGCCGTAATGATTCGCCGTGAACCGGCTGCTGATTCTCTCCCCTTTCCCCCCCGCTGCAGGACTGCAGTCCCAGCTGCAAGAGGCGCCGGACGGTGGAGGATTTCAACAAGTTCTGCACCTTCGTTCTGGCGTACGCCGGCTATATTCCTTACCCCAAGGAGGTACGTGCAGTCACCGGTCTTCAGCGGCCGCGCGGTGTCCCTCTTCTGTGCCGTCTGTCTCTTCTCTTTCGTACCACGATGTACCGCGCCCCCCAAAAAAATCAAACGCGAATCTTCGGGGCTCCAAAGGCACCCCCCCCCTGCTTCGTCAGTCACCTGGCTGTAGCAGAGCTCGACCGGTGCCGAGCCGATGGCGGCGGCGTTGTCGCCCCTCGAGTCGATCGGTGCGGGGGTCTCCCCGGGTGAGCAGGACTGGGGGCTGCGGAGAGGAGAAGACGCGGTGGGTTGCGGTGTGGTCAGCGGCCGCGGGCCTTGGGAAAGCTGCAGGCAGCCGCCCTCCCCCCCTACCCCCCCCCCCAGGGCATGGCGGCGCGTGCCTGCGTGTGTCGTGGTCCTATGCTGTGCTACTGTTGTTCTACTCTGTTTATCCCACAGATCAGTTACAGCGCGGGCAACTGCAGTGCCAGGCTGCCCCACACACTGCCCCGCCAAAGCTCCTCCTCCTCCTCTTCCTCCTCCTCCTCCTCCTCCTCCTCTCTGTCCTGGAGGGACCCCCCTCTCCCAGGGTAAGAGGGCCATTCCAGACTCCATGCTCATCCCTGCCTCTGAATGCCATGCTCTACTCTGTACACGCCGGCAGCACGCGGGGTGGCCTCAGGCCAGCCTATGGCGCTGAGCTGCGGAGGCAAGAGAAGGGGGAGATCGCCCTAGCACTGTGGCCCCCCCAACACCCTAACTTCCCAAGCCCCCCCCCACCACACCTGCTTCCCTTTTCCGAGACTGTGCCCACCTGAGGAGCGAGACCCCAGCCAGCAGAGACCCTGCCTGGGGTGTTCAGGTGTGGGTGCGTGAGTTTATGTAGCGTTAAAGCCCCCGGCGCTTCTTTTTCTGGTTCCCGAATGGGGTCCGTTTGGGCCCGAGAACCGAACTCTGTAGCACAGTATCGGCAGCTCCGCCCGTCCAGCGATACGGAAGGGAGGGTGCGAGTGGGATAGAGGGAAAACCCGTTCTGTTCGTGGAAAGCTAAGTGTAAAAAGAAAAAAAATGAAAAGCCGAGCTGACAGCGCTGAGGAACAGAATCGGGGGAGACAAGCAGGTAAGCAGAGGAAGTGCTGAGGCTCCTGGAAGCGTCAAGCAGCTGATGAGGACACTGCTGCCGGCTGTAAAGATTCCCTTTATCCAGCCCGGAGCAGCTTGACATGTCTCAGGCTTTCCTCCAGGGAGGATCCACCCAACGTGGAAGAGAATCTCGGGAGCAGTGAAGCTCCTGAACAGGCAAGCTGAGGCACAAGGCGTTTTGGAGCACTGTTTCAGACAGTTGCGTTAATCGCGTTACTGGTTCCGCATTTCACACCAAAGGGATCCCAATTCCGGGGTGGTGATGGAAACTCCACACCTAACGCGCCTCCCGACCCGAAACGGATCGCAGGCCGTGGGATCTGAGCCTCCGCGAAGCGGTGCATCCGGGCAGGGGATTCCTGGAGTTTTGAACCAAGGTGCCTCCCTGGGTCTGGACTGGAGGAGAGCAGAGATTGAGGAAGAAACGGAGCCTGGGAGCGCCGGAAGGTTAATGGGCACTGGTCGGGGGGAGACCCGCTGGCGAAGAAACCTGCCGACTTCGGGGGCCGGTGTAGGAAAAG